CATAATGAAAAGGTTGCAGACTTTCTCTTTAATTTTACAGTGAAAAAACAACAACTTGGGAATTGACAGACAATGAAGTGATATATCTTAACAATTTCTTCTTCTTTAAATAACATTTAATGAAACCAGGTCACGTGAACTAACTGAACTCACCATGAGCTTTTTGTTTCTCCTCCAGTTTCTCTTGTTGTTTCTTCTTCTCTTCCACCTGAGTGTCCAGAGCTTGTGTGTCAACCTGACACACACACACACACACACACACACACACACACACACACACACAGATGTAAACACGTTTCCACATTTCACGTTAGCATACTTAGCTTAGCTCACATGAGGAGTCACTTACTCCAATGGTTCTGAGTTTGTCGTTAAAGATCCGCTCTCTTCTTTCTGTCTCTCTGTCCCGACGCCTCTGCAGATTCACCCTCTTCACACCATCGGACACTAATTCAACGTTAAACATGTTGACGCACAACTTCTACTTTATTCTGTTCAACTTTTCTAAACAGAGTTCGGTTTTTTCCGAGAGAACAGACGCGTCTCAAACACTCCGGTTGCTAAGTAACCAGAGGTTCGACCAGGGTTCGACAGCCTTCGTGAGATGTCGGTGGTTTCCGCTGTGTTCGACGTGACGTAGGTGTATGGAAGCTCGAGAGCGTCACCTATCGTCTAAAAGAAGCTGTGAAAACTAGTTTATTTAGTTTACTTGAAAAATCCTGACAAACAAAAAACATACAAATGAACAGGCAAACAGACAAACAAACAAACAAACAAACAGAAAACAAACACAAAACAAACAAACAAACAAATGAACAAGCAAACAAACAAACAAGCAAACAAACATACAAATGAACAGGCAAACAGACTAACAAACAAACAAAAAAACAAACAAATGAACAACAAACAAATAAATAAGCAAACAAAAGCAAACACACAAACAAAAAACAAACAAACAAGTAAACAAATATATACATATATTAAAATCGACATTTAAGTTGAGATTTTACAAAATATTTACCGAACAAGGTCATAAATCAAATCAAAACTGGAACCAGACTTTTTTAATGCATTTCATTATTTATTATTAGCATCATAATTTAGAAATGCATTTCTAAATTCACATGTTCTTACCTGATTATTGGCCTAACTTCGGCACTTAAAGTATTTCAGTAAAAGAAAAAAAAGCTTGTAAATGTAGAATTTGCTGCATTGGTTTTGTTTGTCACACAGTAAACTGAACTCTCATCAAATACTTTGAATGCTTCACAACATACAGTCAGAATATCACCACCATCCTACTAATGACTTTTATTGTTTTTAAAACTTTACTTAAACACCAAGATAAAGCTTAAACCAACAACTTCTGTCCTGAGGTAAGACGCTGTGAGAGTTTCAACAGCTCATCTCAGCATCAGCTGCTTCAACAGGAAACACTGAGTTTTCAAGATGAAAACAAATGAGATAACTGGTTGGTTTTGTTGTGGTGGATCGTTCAGGGATGTAACTTTGTTGTTCCATGTTATTGAGCATTCATGTAACAGTGAGTGGCCTTTATACAAGAATCTCATCAACAGAGCTGAACACGGACACATTTAATCATTAGTCATAATTTGGGAACCATGAAAGAAGATGCAAACAATATAGGATTCATCTCAGGTTGGGTTATTGGGTATTTTTCCACAGTCAATTCATACAAGAATGAATTGTAAAATCATTCTGACCTTTGTTAATTCAATTGTGAAATTAATTATTTGCAGTTGTACTGTGGACACGTAAGATGTTAAACAAATGTACAGGGTGAAGTCAATACATAACTCTTAAGATTGTCAAAATCAATAACACTTTCAATCCCAGATAAGACATTTTAAATAATCATATTCATAGTCACAATTCTTGAACTTTCTTTTTTATGTTGTACAGATTATTCTTTTCTTCACCTCTTGTTGGCCACACACACTTTTTAAAAGGTTTTGATTATGTTTTGGACTTCCCATCTTTGACCAGAACATTCCCGTATTATAAGTTTGGCATCTTTAATCTCCAGGCATCTTTTTGTCTTCCTGTTCTTCAGTTCTTTGCCCTGGAAAAAAAAAAGAAGTGTCCAGGACAGTGACGTAGTGATCAGTATTTCAAAGGTTTCAAAGGTTTTATTGTCATCTGCACAACAGATACAGCGTACATGTTGGCAATGAAAATCTTAAATCCCAGGCACCTCAAGAAACTCAACATGCAAGTGTCATAAAATAAGATAAGAGTAACTAAAAATACAATAACATACACTAGTGCAAATGAAATAACCGCAGTCAAATATTTTCAGCTTCCCACTTTGTTACCTCCACTAAGGAGGTTATGTTTTCACCCCATCCGTTTGTTTGTGAGCAGGATAACATAAAAAACTAATTCCTATGGTTCTTTGGTGAAGACAGAAGCCATTACAGTTTGACACAGATCCACACAAAGGGCTGGAGCCAAGATAGGTTTTTTTCTACCTTCTTCAAAACTGGGAGATTTTCATAAATTCCCCAGTGATTAATTTATGGGTCTTGATGAAACATTTTTAGGGGACTGCTGCTCTCTATGAGTTTGTGCAATGTGCTGCTGCTTAATTTAATTCAAGGGGGCTGTTGGGCATTGGCAGTGGTACAGGCTTGACAGAGTACCAGTCTATTTATTCCTTTTGCAACATCTTCCATGACGTTAATACATTTGTTTTGATGATGGTTTATGTTGTTGTACCTGAGAGAAGTCCCAGTATATCCCCATTCCTTTCTTTACGGCCTCTTTGCAGTTGTAAAGTCCAGGCTCAGTTTCTTTTTTGCCGACGTCGGTTAAACACCGGTTGTCATTGTCCTTGAGGGACTTGATGCCACCGATGTAGAGCTCACCATTCGTGCGGTAAAACGTGTACTAAAAAGACAAACTGGTCAGAAAGCAGGACGGACTGTTAAATACGTCAAAGAAGACATAAGGACTAGAGTTGGCATACCTGGGGTCCATAGTAGTAGCAGTTGAAGGCGATGGGTCTGTGACCCGGCACTGGGCCTTGGTCCAAGCACATTTCGGCATCGAGATTCTTCATCTGTCAGCAAAGGAATTCATCATTTCGTCAGTGCAACTTTGTCAAACATGAGGACAGGAGGGGTGTGGTCAAGAAAACATGATGCTGTGCAGTGCCGCCACCTACTGAGCAATGAATGAAACTAAGCTTACTCCTCCATAGGCCAGTATACTATCCCAGGGATCCAACTTGGGATACACGTTTTCCAGGTACCACTTGAAAGGTTTACAGTTCAACCTCTTTCTGAGTTTCTTCCTCTCAGACACGTCCCCGATGTCAATTCCGTGATTCTGCAGAGGCAAAAAATTTCCCGTTCATGTAAGAACTTAAAGACATTCAGTGGACAAATAACTACAAATCTATTCTGTGCCACAAACAGGGTTTCACTTCTTTCTCGACTATGTTGACGCACCTCAAATGGTAAGTTCCAGGCCAAGTTGATGTTGTGTTTGTATTCATCCATCCAGATCTCTGCTACCCTCAGTGCGTTTCTCTTCATGGCTGGACTCAGGTCGGGCATGTAGGGCTTGTGGCTCCTCTCGATGTGGGCGATCTTGGAGCAAGGGACCACCTCAACACTGCCTCCACACGTCCACACCTTTATGAGCAAAAATCAAAAGTACACTCAACTTTATACTCTTCAACGAAACCAGCTTTTTTAAACTACTCTGGACGGTGATTACAGCAGGAATGTTCTGTCCTGCTGCAGCTGGGCTTGTGTCATCAGATGTAGGCTTTAGTATTAGATAGGTAAGATTTACTTACACGAATTCCCAGCTCAACATTTTCCCCACCGTACACTTTCATTCCTTCATCGAGGACTCCAATCTCCCCAAGAAACGTCCGATCAGCGATTAGGATTCCCATTACAGATGGACTCCTCGAGAGGAATCAAAACGGTGACTACTGGGTCATTTTAAAAATGCACCACAACTATTATCAAGAGTCACACTTTATCTAACAAATGTCGATGATTTCACTTGAACTTACTTCCCGGGCAGTGAGCTGTCATTGAGCTTGTAATACTCGGGCTTAAAACGCTCGTACATGCACCACAGAGCCCAGTCGAAGGCGTGCGCCGCTGGAAGGTACTGAATGACCTTGAGGTCATGGAAGTTGACTTTGTCAAACACGGGGGACACCACCACTGTACGGTCGGCTTTGATTTGAGTGAGCAGGGGTTCGGCCCTGTGGAGGAGAGAAGGACTTCCTTAATTTAAAGCTCCACACAGTAGCTGCGCATCAGTTTATCCTCATCTTTGACTGAATAATTGAGAGTGATTACTACGTATTTTACACATTTTAACAAAGATCGACAGATTTTAAATCTTTTATATATTTCATTGCAGTTTCAAAGTAAAGACTTCCACCATTTGTCTTTGTATTTTTGTCCTGCAACTTTATTTTTCACCTTTTTTAAAATTATCTGTACTGTGTGCATTAGTGTTGAAGACACTGAACTACCACACTATACAACTATACTTTATATTATTGTCAGTGCTTGAACAAAAATAAAAGTATTTCAGCCTCTTTCTCACCACATCTCATGAACTTCGATGTGTGCGTCCAGGATGGCCACCACGTCCGCAGTCGCAGCTCTCCACCCTGAGACTCTGGCGTAGGCGAGCCCTCGCTGCTCGCTGTGCTTCACTCGACTGATGACAAGAGTTGGGTTCTCTCTCTCCAGTGACTTCATGTGCACGTCAAGGTCGCCCTTCAGGTCCTCTGGATTGAGAGGGAGAATGTTGGCATATGTTTAGAGAACAGGCTCAGTTACAGTTTGTAGGGTTCCAGGTTCAGACATGACTGCGGTACTAGATTCCACAACGATTTTCAAGAATGCAAAGCAGCAAAACGTTATATATGGAGGAGTCACGGTTCTGATCACTCATGTGGTACCTGACACCTTCACAAGCTATAGCTACAATAAATACTACTTTTGTGAAATTTAATGTTGTGACTGTATCTGAATAGAAGTTTTAATTTGTGGTTGTGACTGCATTATACTGAAACATGGTTCTAATGTTTTATTCATGCATATAAATTATTTTACTTTATAGCAATTCACCAATACCATCTACAGTCAGACTTTAAATGACACGACAATTTGACAGTTGTCGTTTGTTTACATGGTTAAAAATCTGAACAGAAATTGGGAGCAGGGATCTGAGATGTGATGTCCTGCAGACTAATTATCTGTTTAGCCTAAAAACACTAGATGTGCGTTTGCTTATCACACAACAATGTGTTTTAACCAACCAACCATTAGAGCTGCTGTCGTCCACCATTATTATCTCCTTCAGTATGTTCTTCGGGGTGCGGTCGATGATGCTGCGGAGCGCTCGTTTGATCACAGACAGAGCTTCGTTCAGGTAGATCAGCACCACTCCCAGACTTGGCAGGTCTTTAGGATAAGTCTTGTTCGCACACCTAATCAGAGACAGAGTGACTTTAAATTCAAAACAACTGTCAACTACTGTTGCATTAGACAGTTGTGTAAATGCTTTGAGAGTTCATACTTCCCCCAAGGCCAAATTTAAATGAATTCAATAGATCCACATTTTTATTTCGATCAGCAGTCCCCTAAACATGACTGAGAAACCCCCTCGTCTCAAAATGTTAATGAAAGTGATCAAATAAATTCCTGTATTCCACCGTGATCTGGATCTGCATCAAAATGTCATGACTTCTCTCCTGACCAATACCACCTTCCACCAATATCGTGGTCGTCCATCCAGTAGTTTTTTTTGCATAATCTTTCTTAAATAAGAACAATCTAACAAATGAAGAAACAGACAGGTGAAAACACAACCTCCTTGGTGGACAATGGCACTCAGTAGAGTGCACACTTCAGCCAAGGGCCCCATTTTGTGTAAACCTGCAGACAAACAACCCAAACCACTAACAGACAGGATTTAGAACATAACCTCTTGGGTGGAGGTTACAAACCAACTGAAGGACATAATTAGCGATCAATGACGTGAATCCTCAAAGGTTCTTCAAACCTTCTCTGTTAAAGAAGTACAAAGACAGGTGGGTCATCCTGTGTTAAATCATCAGGCTGCACCTTCTCAGATCTTCATTAAGTGTCTCAAATTCTAATTAATGGAGATATGGACTCATGACGTTTTGACGTTTTAACCTGTCTGTGACTTAGACTGGTATTATTTCTCCTTATAAAGCCGGGATGAGCAGGAGATGACAGTGGTACCTTGGATCCCTGGTATCTGGAAGAACTCGGTCCAGAGGAAGGCGATCGCTAAGAAAAACGTTGTATCCGTACTTCTGAAACAGACCCTGTGCCTCTCGTTGGTCGTCCTCGGACAGATTCTCCCCCCACTGCTTGAACAGGACAGAGTCAGGAAACAGTTTGTTGGACTTTACCGCCTTTTGGATCTTTGCTTCAGGCTGCTCTTTCTGCTCAGACTGTTCCTGGTCTTGCGGCTGCTGTTTGACCTCCCCAGCTTTTCTCGGCCCGTCTCTGTCGTCTTCCAGCATTTTCTGCATGGCGTCCTGCTTCTGTCCAAAAGCTTGCAGCATGTGGTCTTGACAAATTTCAGAGATTGAGGACGAAAAGGCAGAATGAGCCGGAGACATTATCACCTTGTAAAATACCAGACATGAAGTACAACATGTAGTGTTATTTGTCAATTTATGAAATCAAATACAGTATTTCCATTGAGATTCATGTTTGCATCTTCCCCTTGATTGATTCTGTATCACATTATATTTGATCTGTTGCCAGGGTTGAGTGTCACAGCAGCACAGGACTTTTCAAAACTTCTATCATTTACATACGGTAAATAAATTGACTTTATATTTGTGTTTTATATACAGTTATTTATACTAAAGTTCATGGTTGAACTGTACATGGTCAACTCTTACACTAATGTGTAACCTGCACTGAACATTTTGTATGTTGGTATTTTATTTTTGTGTTTTATTTGGTTAATAAAACATTTCTTGTTTCTATCATATCACATACATGTATTTTTACATTTCAATTTTGAAAACATGTTGAGTAAACAGATCATGTTTCATGTCTCTGCCCTCATTTCGAAAAAGCTTTTTTTTTAAATTGAAAAATCAGATCTTTTGAGTTGTTTTCCATTTATTTATTCAGCATTTATATATAATACAACTTAATATAATCATAAATAGTTGTTTGTACTCACAGATGTTGCTGATGCTGGCCTCCAGCTCAGACAGTCTCTTGATCACTTGGGTCGAGTCCAGCTCCAGGTCGGTCCCTGCGTTTAGAAACATGCCCACGTTGAAGACGAGTCCGATCCCCATCAGTATGAGAGCAGGCTGGGTGAACCGCCCTGCCCTCATGCTGACACTGGAAAAGCCGACCGTGGCTCACAGAGACCGACATGTTCCAGGTCTCTGATGAGGAGCAGGTGACTCTGATCAGTGCTGGAGGAAATCACCTGTGTGCTTGTTCCAAAACTACTGGATCCTACAACTCCCATCATGCAACTCAGCCTCTGAGTGAGACTGATTGAGAGACTTCACAGCCCTTAAGATTCTCAGAGATCTACATGACTGACATATGTTCAGAGGAGGAACATTAATCAATCATGTCTTCAGAGGTTCTGTCATCGTAACATCACATCTAATGACAATCACATGAAAAACAGTCCAAACGAGGAAATTCTTAAAGGATCATTTTTTATTTACATACAGAATATAGTTACTGACAATAGCAGAGGTACCGACATCCTCTGACTGCCGGAGCGATAGTGACGTTTCTCAACAAGTTTAATAGTTGACAGTTTTGGCTGGCTTCGCATCGTCCAGGTCAGCTTCCAGGTAACGGAATCGGCGATGACGACGCAGAATCTCGATCGCCTTTTGTTCTACAGTCGAAGGTGTGATCCCGAGATCCTCCAGACCAGGAAGTCCTGGGTACTTCATGTCTGTTATGTGAAACTGGAAGAAAAAAAGTGCAGCAGAGAATTACAGTCTGTGCGCTTGTTAACTAGAATAAGCAGAAATATCAATAATGCAAGAAGAAGCTCCACAAGCCAAAGTCGTGGTTTTCTCACCCTGTCGATTTTGTCTGGGCTCGTCCAAGGCTCAAAAGGATTCATTGCAAAAAAATGAGCAGCGAGACTGAAAAGAAACGACAGTGACAATGATGTTAGTCACAACTGTACCTTAAAGACACCATATAGAGGGGCATATCTGACAGTTGTGCTGTCAGAGTGCGAATGATGTTGGGGAACTTACTGATAGAAAGGACGGGGCAGAGGGTAGGGCACAAAAGGTCTGTGTGCCACAGCGTAGATGTACTCCACCAGGTCATGAAGGACGTAACGGTTCGGGCTTCAAAGAAAAGACAAAAACAATCTGTTAAAGAAAATCACAGTTTAAATCCGTGCTCACAAGTGTTTTTTTCCTCTTTCCTCCAGATAAACACTTCTATCCGCTTCTCCAGGGACACTGGCCTCCTTAGGTTGATTGGAGACTCTAAATTGGCCGTTGGTGTGAGAGTGAATGTTTATGTGTCTGTGTATGTCAGCCTTGTGATGAACTGGCAACCGGTCCAGGGTGTAACCAATGTCCGCAGAGATTGGCTCCAGCTCCACCTGTGACCCTCATATGATAGACTGTATAGATAATGGATGGATGGATAACTTGTGCGATTCCTTTTAATATCACGAGTATTTGATGAACCTGAAGGAACAAGTTTTCAAACATACCCAACGAGTGCGTAGGTCTTTCCATTAGCATCAGGGTCTCTAACAGCATTGAGGATGGCCTTGGCCACATCTACCACCTGAGGAAGGAGATCAGTTTAGTTTAGTTCAGTTTAGAGTCCAAAAGAAATGTCATGTCCTTCAGACTTGGTCAACATGTTACAGAAGACACAACAACACACAACCCTTACATAAACAGGCTGCTTCACCGTCTTCTTCCCCATGGAAATAAGTGGAACAGCGTTGCCAAACCAGCGCATGTCTGAAACAGGATTTAAGCCAAACATGAAACTTTCAGCGGGTAGTCTAGTTAGCTGGCTAACTCTGAGAAGTGGAGGGAGTTTTTTTTTTTAACTCTAGAACACTAATCAAAAAATGTGAAATGGTTCTGCTATATGCTTGTAAAACTTGATGAAGAGATGACAATGAACTAAATACGCAGCACAACTGAGGTTGAGCATCAACAGAAAACTGATCTCAGTCTCCAAAACAAAACAAGTTCTTACTTGCGTAGTAGTTAAAGAATCTGTCCTCTCTCCCATAGATCTCAGACGGCTTCATGATGATTGCGTCAGGGAACTCGTCTCTCACTGCGTTCTCTCCTACAGCCTGTGGTAAAGGAACATTACACACAATGATCACCTGCATTTAAACATGTGAACCTTCTTCAAATGTTAATGTGGCCAGCACATGATTCAAGATTAATAGTTATCAGAATCAGGTTTATTGTTAAGTAAGTTTACACATACATGGAATTTGCTGTGGTGTGTTTGTGCAAATACAGAAAATAGGAAAAAAAATAAAATAGAAAAATAAAATATTAAAATAAGTAAGAAGACTGGGGGGGACGATTTTCAAGTCTCTATTTTTTTGGCCGTCTCCACACAAACCAAAAGTTGTTCTATAGGGTGAGCTGCATCTCTCTTTAAGGGACTCTTTAACCTTCATAGTAGTGTAGGTGCCAGGCATAAACATAGCAAAAGTGATGCACTTTAAAACTAAATCATATTAGTGTGGATGAAGCCTAAAAGTACCTGAACAGACAAACAGCAAACACATCAGCTCTAACACAACACTATGACAGACACACATATGTCGGGTTAGGGAGTGGGATCGACCGTGCATTATGCAGAGAAACAGCCCACCTTGTTCCTCAGGTACTTGGATTGGCTGCGTATGTCAGCGTTGAGGTGAGACATGTGGACGAACTTTGTGATGCCGGCCTCTCTGGCTGCCTTGGCAATCTGCTGAGGGATGGACACGAAGACATCGTCGAAGCTATAGTTCCTTCAAACAAAAAGAGAGAAAAATGCTGTGATTGTTTACTTATAAATCACAAGGTGAAACAACACAGTCATGCAACGTGTGACACACATTGTATCGTGGTGGGATAGGATTAAAAAATAAATTCTTCTGCTCTAATACCTCGTCTCCCACTCTCTGCCCACCAGGTTGATAACCACGTTAGAGTTCTCCAAAGCACGTTTGATGGAGTCTTTGTTCCTAGCATCCCACTCCTGCAACAAGAAGGAACAGAGACACCACATTTACATTTTATTCAAGGCTCTTAAGTGCTTGATTTCACCACAGAGAAGTATTTCTACAACAAATTCTGTGACGTCTGAGAAATGTGTCTGAAGTGCACCTCTCACCATGAAAATGACTTGTCCAAGATCACCCATGGGCCTGAAGTACATGAGGTCATACTGATCACAGCGGTGCGGGATTATAATCTGAGAGCCAATCCGACCTGCAAATCATCATTAGATACAATCACCTCTCTGCACCATCGATTCAACAAGAAAAAAAACTTGCACGCGATTAATTAATTCAAATTCAAGATAACAGAACAAAAAGGGATCACCACATTTCCCCAAACAGATCAACCAATTATAGTGAGACAGTAATTAAATATCAAAACTCTGTCCACAAGCCCCATCTCTGGTTTTCTGAATAGTAAGAACATGTGTGTGCACAGTTTAACATCATTATAATGCTGTATTTTGAAACTCACCCAGCCTGTTGACGACATATCGACCCAGGAACCCTGTGGCACCGAACACCGTGGCTGATATTCCACTAGAAGAGGAGCGCCCTCCTTTCCCTTTTGGAATGACTGCATGGTGCAGCTTCCTCTGCTGACCCGTGGAGACGCAGGCGGCTGACAATACAGCAGGGGAGCAGCTACCTATTGAAAGGAGAGGAACACAGGCTGCGTACCGTCAGGATGATCATGTAGGATAGCACAAAATACAGTCCTCAAAACATGGAGCTGACACTCTGGATTGTACTGTTGGGTATTCTATTATCAAGGAGGCACAACATCTGCTTGTAGGTCCGATCCCCATCACTATGAGAGCAGTCCGGGTGAACTGCCCTGCCCTGTATGTAGTCATGTAAAAACCTAGTTAATCACACAAACATGAAGAATCGTTGCAGCCATCATCCTGCAGATACTGAGACGGAGCCTCAGGTGATTTTCTCATCGAGCATCAGAATGAAGAAGAAATATGAAGTGTTACGAATCTTGGAGCCAGACGAGCCAGTCTGAACCTTTTCTGAAATTGTGGAACTTCAGGGATTTTCACAGACAACTGTCATCAGAGTTCACTTATGTGTTGTGAGTGTCTCTAACACACGTCACGTCACTGTGGCCCAGCGGAGATGACACTGACCAACACTCAGATAAACGTAACGCTTTCCCCCTCAGTAATAGTTCCACATATCGACAGCCCTCAGCTGACGCGGTGAATTAGCCTGAAAGTACTGGACAGGTCCAAATATGAGCTAGTAGCTAGCTGAGGTGCTAGCAGGTGTTTATCCGGTTAGCAAGGTCACTGGATCCGTGTGCTCGGCGTGAACATGAGGCGCAGATGCGACCACACAGACGAACAGACATGCTCTATTATCCTCTGACACACACTTCTACACGAGCGCAGGCAACGTTCAGCTGTTACTCACTGGAAATCTTTGGAAGGACATTAGCAGAGCGGCTAACCAGCACCGTGGCCGCCATCTTCCCGACTACGGCGTCTCGTGCGGACCAAACCACGAGAAACGTCCACAAGGCGCTGAACAGAGGCGCAAACAAAAAATAAAAAAAATAACAAGCCGAAGTTTTGAAATGTTTCAAATGTTTCCACACTTTTCAAAATACGAAACACAAGACATCTGTATTTGAAAATGGGTGGTCTTTACACAACTACTTAATCGTTTATAATATAATACAATTATATTTATATTGTGTTTCTAAAGCTCTACTATTTAATATTTCAGCATGATGGTTATTAGATGGTTCTTGAAAAATGATTATTATCCTTTTTTCTTCACTTGGAGTGTTAATGTAGCATCATTTATTAACCTGTAATTTTTTTATTGAATTTAATTTTGTATCTGAACTGTGGCACTTCACTGTAGACTGTAGGCTCAGGCATCGTCTTGTAGTTCATTCATACTTGTTCATAGTCAGAGCATCCTGAGGTCCAGGGGACACCTCCTGTGTCGGAGGCCTGTCCATACCTGGTTCTAGGCTTCATTATTTCTTTAATAGCCAATTTTGTTAAATTAAACTAACCTGTCTCACGATGATGTAACCCAGCTCACGTTCCCTATCGGTGGGTGGACAATCTAAGCTTGGTGAATTCTGCTTCACAATGATGTCAATGTGCCAAACAGGCCTCTGTTTCATTCAGACACATAAACACAACTATGAGGATACAATATAAAATGAAATATATAAACACAAGTTCTTTGAAATAGCTTTTTATTTACTCATAAAAGACATAAAAATTACTTTTCTTGACTTCTTTCCAGCTCCAGTCCTTCCTCTCTGGATCTCTGGTTGCTTAGCTAATCAATAATGAGGGCACGGGTCTATCTTCAATTTAACTTTGATATCTGTTGGCGAATAAAGACATGAAACAGTTGTATAAAGAAGGTTAATGTCCTGTAACATGAGCAGAGATTTTCTTCAAATAAAAGGGATCCTGACAAACGCTGTGTGAACTCTGTCTACATGTATGACAGGTAAGAATCCAGCTGTTTCTAATCCAGGTGTTCTCACACACAATATAAAGTGCAAGATTACTAATACTGCAAGGCACAAACTATCGATAGGATTGTCTTTTTGTTTCTAATATAAAAAATATCATGAGTAACACGGTCAAAATGTTTCCATACAGTAACAACACAACAAGTAAAACCTTGTCTAAACCCTCGACAAATATCTTAAATATTTTCTTAAATAAGTCCTGTATTATGCATACATAAGAAAGAACAGAAATATGTACAACAGAATCTATTACAAATACATACTTTATGACTTTCAATTAAATTGTTGCACAAATATCAAACATAGGATCGAACAAATTTGATAATAAATAAATAAAACAATTAATAATCACTGGGTAATCAACTGCAATCTACAATTACAAAGTACATGAAAATTATTTCTTTGTCAACATGATAAAAAAAAAAGAATTCATTTTTTTGGCTCAGCCTTTATTGCACACAATTCTTCAAATCTTTTACCCTCATGAAAGTGTTGTTTTTGAAGTGAAGCTAAAATGTTTAAATGCAAAGAGAAAAAAAAATCTAAAACAGATTTGCACTTTTTGTTTGTTTGTTTGTCAGCAAGGTAACGCAAAAACTACTGGGTGGACTTTAATAAAACTTGGTGGAAGGATGTGATCCAGGAATATTTCTGTTGCTTTGCATTGGATGTTTTTTGACATTTTCACCCATTTCCCAAGGAATAATTCAGGGCTCTGGATGAAGAAAATACGCCAAAATAAAGAGACTGAAATCGATTGGTGTGTGAAATTTGGTGCAGCTCAATTGAATTGACTGTTGGTGGAGGTGTGAGCTCTCTACAAAAAGAGATGTCAATGCACAGCAAAGATTGAATTCAATAAATAATAAGGAGACAGTTAAAGCAGAGACAACGATGAAGATATTTAGCAAATCGATCTCAACTCAGCAAGGACACTGATGTCTTCACTGTCACACAACTCTCACATGTGGCTTTTCGACATCATGAAGATGCAGCAGCGACATATTTTCATAGCAAACGACGACGTGGAGGATCTTTAAAATTCTTTGTGTGTGCAGGGTCAGACAACTGCAACTTTCTCTCAGCTGTCCATTTACTACCACATCTCAGTCACTCAGGTGAGAAGTGGGACAAGTGTGAATGTCCCCAGTTCCCACTTGTCATGAACGCAGCACATTTCCCTCAGACTGTTACATGATAGGTGGCAAACACTGAGACGGTTCCTGGCTGTCCTTTCTCTCTGTGCCCACTTCCTCCTGTGGTTTGATGATGATGTGAACAGGCCTTTCACCACCTCCTTGCTGCTTGGTGTCCGTGGAGAGCTTCCCATCGCCTTCGCACACCTCCTCCCCCGCCGAGGCCCCGATGGGCCGCAGACGCTCGGCAGGTGCCGTGTTTGCTCCTGTTTCTGAGTCGTCTCTCTTCAGCTTGTCGTAAGTGCTGCTCTCTGAGCTGACCTTCTCCGCTGCACCATGGAAACAAAGGACATTAGAGGTCAGCTGGAGATGAATACAAGAACTGTAGTGCAGATACATCTGAACATGGCATTAGATTTTTATTTTGTTAGCTTATTAACATCATTATTATTATTATTATTAATAATGGAAATTACAACCACAAGGACCAGACATTTCATGTGCTTATATGGACATAGATGTAAAATGTTTTTATATTTTATACAAATAGAATCATTTCTATTATAGAAATGTGCATTTAGTAGAAGAGCTTCCAGTTTGGGTCTTGTGATGTTTGTTTCGAGCATTAAAACATTGCAGATGATAGAATACAAATTATGTAGCACAGCATAGAGTTGTAATACTGTTTTCTACTAAGTAACAAGTGTATTCTTGTTGTGGGGAGAGAGGATAAAGAGACACTGTTGGGCTACTGATGTTAGTTAAGTCGTGTTATTTGACTTTCAGTATCATGACATGCAGAGTATGGCTGATGACTGATGAAGTGGAGTCTTACCAGGCTTGCAGTTAGTTTGTCTGCCTGTGCTGGTCGAACTGTCTGAGGTCTTCTTCACCACAGGCCTGGTTCTTGGCCGCACTCTGTTGAAGTTCCCCTCCAGGATCCACTCGTGCTGCAAACCCTCGTCAGGACTCATTCGCTTGGTCGGATCCCAACTGAGAAGAAGAGGCAAAATAATTTCAATGAGCAAACGCAGCTTTAATGCAGAACATCCAGTTCTGATGCAGTCACTTCAGGATGAAATGAAAGGAGGAGCTTATTATTTTAAAGGAGTCCGAATGCAACATACGTGAGGCAGCGTTTGATGAAGTCTAGGAATAAAGCATCATTGGTTTTCAAAGCAGCTGACAGCTCCTTGGAGTTCGGCCTCCGCTTCTTCCCCTTGCTGTTAGTGATGTTCCTCGGGTTTCCTTTGGAATCTGCACACAAAACACAGCGGAGAGTTTTATACTCATTCACAGTTTCAACCGGCAATCGCACATTTTCTAGCCTGCTCTATAATCTGCAAAACATGAAATATATCAAATAAAATATCCACAGAAATAAAATTGTGGCAGTGAAGAAACTTTCTCACCGAAGAACAACCTCCTCCTGGACGCCGACTGAACAAAATCATTTGGAGGCATCCCGAGTACCTGCAAGCAATAATATCTGATTACATTCATATAACGGAGCAACAAATACATCTCATAAATTAGTATAAAATAAATACAGGCACATATCTATTTCCATGTTATACCTCCATTATGCAGGCTATCTGCTCCACCTCGCTCTCTCCAGGAAAGAGAGGATAGCCTGTGTAGAGCTCAGCGAGGATGCAGCCCAGACTCCACATGTCGATGGCCATGCTGTACGGGTGACCCAGGATCACCTCTGGGGAGCGGTAGAAGCGGCTCTGGATGTAGGTGTACACTAACGGAGGAGAACGTAAGTAAGTTCAAATATGACTTCTTTGAAAACACTTCTTAAACCTCATTTTTATAGACTTGCTTTCATGTGATGTTGTATTTTCTACTTTTGTGTTTTTTATCATTTTCTCTTCACCTGTCACCAAGTTTTCATGTGACACAGATCTAAATCTATTCATCGACCTTGCTTCCGACCTTAACGTTGTTATCTGGCCTCCTTGTCACATTGCATCCTGCTGATTGTTATTTCTCTTACATTTACTTTTCTTGCTTTGCTGTCAAAGCACTTTGTAAACTCTGTTTTAAAAATGCTATATAAATAAAATGTATATTATTATTATTATAAGATTCATGTTCACGAGTTGTATACCCCCCAACATGATAACTTATTCTCTCATGCTCTCACCTCTCTGTTGTTCATAACAGCTTGAGCCAAAGTCCACCACCTTGATGTTGCCTGGTCCTCTCTGAGAAAGAAGAATGTTCTCCTGTGCAGAAGTAGAAACACAACCATTCAAACACTGCTGCTTCTCAGTAGCACTGCTAACGTTACAATGCTCCACAAGAGGGAGCAAAATACACACTATTGTCTTTGCAGGTAAATTATCAGTTGCAGTCCAGTGCAGAGGTGTGGGCCACGCCAGGTTTATTGACTCCACTATATTTTCAGTCATGTCAAGTCATTTGTATTTGACATGTCGGTTCAAGTTTTACAGATGCAATACAAAAAAACATCCCCATATATGATACGTAACATCTGTTCTATTAAACTACTATCATAAATACTATAACCTTTATATATACACTTTGTGTTTACAGTTCCAGTGGCAAAGTGAATCTACAAGTTATATATTGATTTCCATATTCACTATCTGTACTGTAATGTTTATAATATGTTGTATGTCATATTCTGTGCATGACAACTTGAAGTTGATCTTGAGAAGTCCGTACCGGTTTGAGGTCACAGTGGATAATCTTCTCCCGGTGCAGCATCTGCAGGCACCTGAGCAGAGCGTGGGCAAAGCGGCGGATGAGGGCGAGACTGAAGCCCTGGAAGTTGTTTTTTTTGATGAGCTCATACAAGTTCACCCTGTGGAAGAAAGAAAATTCCTATTTAATACCTAATGCCTGAAAACTAACACGACAAATCATTCTCATGATGTAATATTTCTTTTTTTACATTTTTCTTTTATACATAGAAGAGTGAGCTCAGTGATGACACCCTCCATAAAAAGATGCAGCAAATAAAGCAACATCACAAGCCTTAAATAAATAAAAAGATAGACGGCAGACAAGTTATCATGTAAACCTTCCACTGTCTGTCACATGGAAATTATCTATGATTGACACTCACGTATCCTCCTGCTATTTCGTGACACTTGTGATAAGCATAAACGTCTTTAGCATGTGCAACCCGAGCCTTCACACCATGAAGCAAGAAGGGGTAAGAGACAGCGACCTAATCAAGGCCTTAACTAAAGGATTCGGTGACGGTAACGTAAGACAAGGTGGCAGTCCAAGACATCCTCTAAAGGTCATTCATTCAGTGATACATCAAAATGTCTCCCCTCAAATAGATATCGGTGGTAATCAATGTCAGAATGCAGATGTTGAGGGTGCACAGGTAAACACAAAACAAAGTGAGAATGGCCTCTGATAACACAGACCCTACGCTGTTGCACCTCAGGTAAAGTGGCTAACCGTGACTGCATTCGATCAAAAGATGAATTATTCAGTAACGTCTTTATATTTTTTTTTTTGAATGTGCCGGCCTGTGTGCTGGATGAGTAAATGGACAAACCCGAGGAGCTCAAAGGAGATGCAGAGGTGGTTTCGGAAGTAAAAGTACTCTTTCATGTGGATGACGTTGTGGAGGTTGTCCTTGTCTTTCCGCTTGATCACATCCAGGATCTTCAGCTCGACCAGGGCTTGGTGGTGAAACCTACGGGCAAATTTGCAGAGTTGTCTGATTTTTAGATTCGCCAGTAAAACCTGTGATTTGAAGATGAGTTATTCCATGAATACCAAGTCAGAATAAACAGATTCATGTCAAAATATCAATAACAATAAGATCTCTTACATTTCGATTCTTTCAAAATGTTTGATATGCTACATGTCTGAGACCAAAAATCCCTAAAATCCCTCTGTATGTCCACCAGTCACAATCCTCCTCCAGGAGAAATAAGATCTGTGACAGTTATCTGACAAAGTGAAGACTTCCCCTTCAGGCTGTGCTGTGGCAGTTTGCACCCATTTTGTTTTCTGCATTATTGAAGCGGAGGTAAGACCTGACGGCTCCTCCGGCATCAAACCTATAGACCTCATGCTTGTTGCTGCCACTGCGCTCCTCAGCGAGCAGGGACAGGTAAGATAACACCAAGAGGTGCCGATTTGTATCATGCTAAATCAGGATCGGAGCAATTTTGGCAGAGTCCTGAGATGTAAAATGATCACGGTGCAGGCAAGTGGGAAAAAACCTCACAACGGGACATATCAGGTCTCACATGAATACCACACGTAGACTCCCTGAACGTGGAAATTAACTCAATCTACACAGTAACATAGCAACAAAGCACTGAACTTAGTAAAGGCTGGTTGTTTTGTTTTCATAACCTGGATAAGCAGTTTAAACATGTTAGGTTAAAACATTTAATTGTTGTGTGTGTGCAGAGCTTTTTAAAAGCAGGCTGAGGTGCAGAGTGAAGTTAGAAAACTATGCGCTCATCCTACCTGGTTTATCTGCAATGATTTTATCGTCAACATTTCCCATGAAATGAAACTGAATTAGCTCTATTACTGTTCACGTGTGTGACTTTTAGATACGTTTGATATATTTACTTTACTGCTGTTATTTTTTCATACATTGCATGTCGAATATTTCAATGGTCTGTTAAGCAAAGCGACAATATATTCACACCCAGGTTCCCAACTTTTTACAATAAAAGCTCAATAAAACAGACGTTGGGCTTGTACTTAGAGAAATTGCCAAACAGGAAGTGATTCTATGAATGCTGTTGCCATGACAGAGATTAGCACCCGAGCCGTGTGTTAGTGTTTTAGTCCGATACGGTGAAATAAAAATGATCAAATAATCAAAATTATCTGGTCGTATGACTCAGCTGCTGACTGCTGCTGTAGCTTATCCGAGGATGTCAAAGAAAACATGTCTATAGTTCAACACCCCCACTGTCTGCTACTGAGTGCTGGTAACCTGTTCATTCCATCTTTATTAATATTGAGCGAATCACACCACACTCAGCACTGCACTTCCCTGGACCACTAAGAATACATATAACATAAGTGTGACGTGGATAAGATGAACAGTTATATTCGGTCCACATCCACACAGACAGAATTGTTGAATTAGTGGGTGGATGAATAAAATAAGTCAAATGTTACCTTTTCTTATTGCGAATCATCTTGATGGCAACGAGTTCATTGGTTTTGTGGTCCAGACATTTCAGGACCTGCCCGAAGGAGCCTTTCCCAATCACTTCAAGCACCTCAAACCTATAGGCGATGTGGTCGTGCAGCACCTGGAAGAGCAAGAGGATGAGCACAGAGAATATTAAAGCAGAATTCACTTTATTCATATACAATATTACTTTGTTTATTTGTATTTATTTATTCACTTAAGATGTATCACAATTAAATTTGCTCATACAAACACATCAAAATAATTTAATCTTTAAACCTATAGTTAATGATTCTATGTTGTATTGCATTTTTAGCTACGGTGAGTAGATTGCAGTACTAAGTGTAGTGTGGTTTCACTGTAAGTGTCAGATCCTCTGAACAGTGGTAATTCACTCAGGCTTTAACAGCTCATTCAGTATAAAGATTAACCAACTGTCTCCTCAGAGCAGGTTATTGTAAAACACCGTTCAAGAATAATGACTGCAGCTGCTGGATTAAGGTCAAATGGAGGCAGCTTGGAAGGAGTGTGTTTATTATTCAAAAGTGTGTGTGTGAAAGAGAGAGAGTGAAAAGATACACAACGTCAGCGTCTTCATATTTTCATATTACCTTCTTACTTTAAAAGGACCTTAATGTCTTTGCACATTCACATGGATGATGAAGTGTTTTTTAAAGTGTCTAGTTTAAACGCAGCTTCTTTGAAACTTTAGAGTCCCGACAATTTGTGAAATTTTCAAATGCTTTTTTTTTCCAGCACAACAATTCCCATATGACCGGTGAATTAACGCACATGTTAACATCATTGCAGAAAGGTTAAACAACCATTATGTCCACACAATTGGGTCCAGGCATTCTTCGGTGTTTATCTTTCACACATGAACTACGTGTGCGGCTCAGAGTTTTAATTCAGAGATTTTAATATTTTATTTATTTTCGTGTCTGTTGCATTTTAGAAAATTCATCAACATGCCCACTAGCTCGGGGTAAATCCTGCGGAGGATATCCTACTGTGTTCTCACATCGGCTCACTCTGAGATTTGCGTTCACACATACAGGCCCTCTGGAGAATGTCTGGAGATAATGGCTTAAATTTACCGAGGTTAAACCTTTTATAACATATATTATTACCCTGATGTAGCTTCCATGCTCGTCATCATATCCAGAGTTTTGCAGCGCTCCTTGGGAACCCTCGATCTTCTGAGAGCCCAGACCCAGGAACCAGATCTCGCTGTAGTCTATGATTTCCTCCTGCTCAAACCCCGTCAGCCGCTCCTGGAAGTTCTTCAGTGCCTCTGCAGCAGGAAGCAAGAGGAGGACGGTATGAATCACTTTCATATTGATTACACCTCTGCCAAGTGAAGAGGATTGTGAAGAGTTGCCTTAAATGCCAATTTGCTATTTTTACTGCATCAATAAAAAAAGTGTTGTTTTCAAAAACAACAACACCCCAACAGATAAAACATGTGTGATAACGTCTCTGTGGCGTTCTAACAACACACCTATGGGCGACATGGGTAATCTCTGTCCCTCATATTCCTTCTCTTTCTCCAGCTTGTTGCTGAAAATCTTGCTGTTGCGAGAGACGGACACTTTATCCATGACTCCACCGAACCGCATGCTGAACTGCTGGGCGGGCTTCGGCCTCTCGTCCTGTCCGGAAAACACACACAGGGAAAGAAGAGAATATGTTACTGTGAGTTAGTTTGGAAAAATGTTGAAAAATTCTCTGTTCATTTTCCTTCCATCAGACACATAAAAAAACTCGTCACTGCATGAGAGGCTCACTGTGTGCGTCTGAAAGTTGTTTTGACCCCCTTTGTTGGCGATTTGTGGCAAGATGTTGTCCGACTGCTGGTGCTGGTTTTTGGCATTGCTGACCACCACCTGGACCACCGGTGGCTCAAGCTGGGGCAACGTCCCTACACCAGGGCCGAACTTCTGCAAATCACAAGGATTGTTTGTTAGAACTTTAGAAGAACTTCAGAATAGAGACAACACGGATGGATTGTGGAGAAAAAATAATATTTCACTCATATTTTTAACAGAATGGGTAACGATAGCATTTGATTCATAAAACCAGGGAGGATATGAGTGCAAATCAATTTGCTTCAAAGATGTTTTTCAACAGCGCATCCGTTTGAAAACATTCAGCAAAAAGCAGCCGGTGCAGAGCGAGGTCAGTTATTCTTTTTTGAGCTGTGGCTACAAGCTTTGTCACAGCATCCTCTTCGCTTCCTCGTGTCGGGCTGCACCTCGTAAGATTTAGTCTGCGATCTACATCCCCGTTCACATGCACTCGGAGGTGCAGGCTCAGGTGACCCGGATAACCCTGCACCCCCCCTCACCAACCCCCTGCAGCGGGTATAAGCGGCTGGAATTACCGATCAGGGGGGGTAAGAGTGAAATAGGGACAAAGCTCTGTGAGGCCGGGTCCTGACAGGGCCTGTCTGCAGTGGCAGACCTGAAGGGGAGGTGAGGAGCTACAACCTGCTTTTCTCTGGCTGCCATCCTCCTTGCTCCGGGAGCACGATTACATGTGTCACCCACTCACAAGCCTCAGCCCTGGCAGTGATGGGCAAAATTAGACCTCTGTCCTGTGCCAAGTGCTCTGAGGAAAAAATAAGACATCCTGCAGACGTGTATCTGTGTCTAGAGGGGGATCGTAAAGCAAATTTAAAACGTATTTCCACTTATTGATCATAGAATCCACAAATTTGAATTCCAAGTAGAAAATTTAAAAGTAGACCTGCCCCTGCATCTCAGCTGGGTACCACACATAGCTACACATTGAATTATTTCACATTAATTATTAACAGGAATAAGATCTTTCCCATCTATACAGTAGGTGGTTCTCACGTGTTTAGAGCTGCTGCAGGATCTGCCAACTTGGTTATGACGCATGGAGATAGGGCTAAATATAGTCGCAGAGCACCTGCCACAACAGGCAGAGGAAGTAAACACAGTTATGTGCCTGTATGTAACTGGGGGGCATGCTCTCTAAATAAGATGCTCTTGTATCATTGGAAATCTTTGATGCGTGAGACCACATGGCCTCATATGTGCAGACGGATGAGTGCAGTCATGTCCATTTTGTTCTTGTTTATATGGACGACCATGATATTTTATTTTAAGGCATTTTATTTCTGATGAGCTGCGTCGTTATTCTTGAAATGCATTACTCATTCAAAAGCTAATAACCAAAACAATACAATTTTTGCCAATGATGCAAGTCCGGCATCATTTATGGCATTCTGGTGTAGCTCACTGAATGTGTGTGCAGTAGAGGAAAATGAGAAATATTACGTCTGGAGAATAATTTAAGCACCACATTACATAATTCAATCACTGGGAGGGAAAAGGTGTCTTTGTTGATCCATGTTCTGAGTTAGCAGCTACAGTGTGTTGCAGAGGGGGGAAGCGCTGACCTGTGAGCAGGGGCGGTTTGTTCCGAGCCGGTTTCCCTCTGCTGGGAGTCTGTGGGGGTGAGGGAAAGCCTCCGGTCGTGACGTCTGTGGGAGGAATGAGAGCGATACATGAAACATAATTGAGGGGGCGAACAAGCTGCTTCTTATTTTTCAAAATGCTGGAAATAATAGAAAAGAGAAACCAAAGTTCTTCTTCTCACAGTCATGTTAAACAATAATAATGAAAGTGCCTCTTGGGTTCATGCAGCCTGTGGGCAGCCGAGCGAGGTTGCAGCCACACAAGCAAAAATAATGCGCTGCAATCTTTAAATAGATTACTCCTGCAAAAACCCAGCAACAACGATCCTCCCTCTCACTGTCCAGCATTCTCCTGCAGGTGTGTAGCCATGTACACATCCATGTGTTCAGCACTGCACGTGCCTGGAGAGAGAAACTGAATGACTGAACTGAATGTGTTAAAAATGTTGGGGGGGGAAAAAACGGCATAGTTGATCTCACACACACGCTTCAGCACCAAGCCAGCTTACACGTGCTTTATTAATCAGTGGGTGAGCTTCATGAAACTGTGTTGGGCAGCACCATATGGGTGGAATAAAGCTCCAGGCCCATATGGGGGGGTGTGCTAAACCCTGCCAGCCTGGCAGGGTGAGAGGGAGGGAGACAAACTGAGTGGATGAGAGACACCATCCTCAGTCATAATCTTAAGCAGAAGCAACATTTGCTGCAGGGGAAGGAGACAAACTGAACCTCCTCAGACAGACTGAAACACCAGGTTCACACATTTAGGCCAAAAACACAAGTTGGCTTGGTGGCAATTAGAAAGTACAATGTGCAATTGAAAAAAATTGGAGTTATTGGAGTCTTATCTTTTGGTGGAGGCTGACCAACTTCTCCACACCAACTGTGACGACACTCCCTGCACCTGTCAATCCAATGAATGAAACCAAGCTGCTACAGAGGCTGCTCTTTACGTTCCAGCTGCTGTTGTGATAATGAAACCACACGTAGCCAAACGAGGGTACGATACATCAGTGTATTCATGTTACAATCTCAGGAGCCATGTAGGTCACTGTGGCAGGTTGGCGTCCAATACCTCACCTGCAGAGGTCTGCTGTAAGCCTGGCTAATGAGCACTGAGACAGTGGAAACCCAGTGACATCATTGCACGTGTCCAGGTGCTAGAGAAAAATAACGACTGTGACCTTTTATTCCACTGTGACGAATGAGCAGAATCACATATCTAAATAATAATAACAAGTAGCGTGTTGGGGTATTTCTCTTTCTTTTCCATCCATCATCTTTTCTGTGGGTTGGTCCATCACAGGGCCAATATATATACATGTTCATGCTCAGATTCACACCTAAAGGCAATGTAGAGTCTCAAATTAAACTACTGCATGTCTTTGGACTGTGGGAAGAAAGCCAGAGATACCCAGAGAAAACCCCCCGCATGCCCACACAAGGGGAACCTGCTAAACTCCACACAGATTCAACATGGCTGATGTTAAAATTGTGCCTAAACTTAAGGTTTTACCAAAAGTGTGAATAACAGATAACACTAATAGTCTGATCCAGTTTATTAAAGTGCAGATAAATGCAGTCCTCCCAGATGAATTTGATAAAGCTACATGAATAAATCATTGGAAGTAAACACAAGGAAACAAATGTCAAGAACTATAAGCCGACTCTTGATCTGTGTGGTCGTAGCTAGAGGTGGAGGATCATCCCAGCACCTTTGGGCTCTCAGGAGTCATTTGGTCAAAGGGTCAACGAAGCAACAAAACCAACTGAGGTAAACATCAACAAACTGTGCTCATGTGACACTATCAGCACGTACAGTCGTTTTTCATATATAGACAGGTTTTCTGTCACTTTCACTACACAACAAGCTGTTTCCTGTTCGGTCTCAACTCTGACTGCCGGGACGGATGCATGAGAAGTCACCATCATTGCTAATCAATCATTGTTCAGGCTTGTGACAAAGCAAACATTCCTGCGTTTCTCACATCTGACACTAAAAACAGTGAAAAGGCTGAAATTCCTTTAAGATTTAAAAACAGCAAGGGTTAAATTTACATCAGTTTCCATGTAGGGTGTGAAAAATACACCCAGAACGCATATAGACTCACAGAAACTGTCACTGAAATAAGTAGGCTAAACATTGACTGAAATAGAAATGGATCAGATTTTTCATCATAACTCGGCGTGCGGTCCTGGAGAAAGGGGCTGGACTATATAAAATAAGCATTAAAGTGGGATAATGTGATAATGACTTCACAATATTGATGTAAATCAGTGAATTGAAGATGGAATTAAGAGTAAATTACAGATTTTCAAGGATACCTGTGGAAGGTCTCCACCTGAAATGGAATTAGCCTGGAGTGAAGCCATGTATCTGGTCAAAAGTGCCACTTATAGCATGGAAAACCTATATGGCAAATACACTAAGACTATAGATGAGACTATACAACTTCATCCCACTTCGAGGAAATTCACTAGTTACAGCAGTAGACAGTCAGAACGAGGCAGACGAGAATAGAAAGAATAAAAATACTGAGAATATTTTCCTATTTACATTGATCATTGATGTGACATAATAGGTGATAAGAGGTAAATTGTAAGAACAATATAGAAATTCTTGAATTAATTAAATAACCAGACAAATCAAGTCATTTTAAGAAACCATAACTCTAATTCATACGTGACTGTGGTAACTGCTTTTTAAACGTATATCATGAAATAACAGTACCACAGTCACTCTGTCAACCACATTGTATTTCTGCCACCACTCATCCAACCAAAGCGCCTCACCTTGTTGTTAATTTCTGGCAACATGCTGTTATCAATGATCCGAGCCCAGAGGAGAGATTCTTATAAAATCCAATGGAGACTCATTTTATCCAACTCTGTCAGTCCAGCCTCAAAACCAGGACGAGCTCTCCTGAAGTCCAGCTTCACCGAGTGATGAGTAAAATCCCGATGACTGATCAGATCCACTGATCCCGAAGCTGCTGCGCTGCGGGTTTTACGCACATATGGCGTAGAAAAGCGCTGTCGTCAGAGGACAGATTAGCGAGGGAGACAAGCTGTTGAGGGTCCCCGCGCCTTAAGACATCACAGGAGCCACCTGTTCAGGTTCCTGCCGCTGACAGCTGGGACTGTCCAGATATAGATTTGTTTTTTAATCGTGCGCTCTCGTCCACCAACTCCGTCCGCCGCGCACTGCACGGCGTGGCCTCACTGTTTCATCACTGACACCCACAGACGGTTCCCTCTCACGCCGACACCAGCGCGTCCCGTCGCAGGAAACCTCATCTTTGTGCAGCCAAACCAACCGGACACTGTCGCTTTCATCCGAGTCATGCGTGACTCTATCCAAGAGTTTCACCAATAATATTAAAGAAATCCACAATACAAGCCGGATGAGTCAAATGTTGAATGTTTTTGGATAAGTTGCCTCTAATAGAAATACATATCATCAATGATCTTTTACACAACCTGTGTCCTTATCTTTATATTGCACATTTAAAACAGCAGCCTTAAAATTTCCATAGTATATTTCACTACATTTTACACCTTGCACTTAACTTTAACTTTTAACTTTGCCTCAATTTAGCTCTGTCTGAACAACTCAGTCACCGTCCTACATGTATGCTCGTCTATGTACTTATTGCACATGTCTGTACTGTTGGAACACAAGAATTTCCCCTGGGGGATGATTAAAGTATATCTATCTATCTATCTATCTATCTATCTATCTATCTATCTATCTATCCAAAGTCCTTGTGCTGCTAAATGATGAATTTCCTCTGTGGTCCCTTCCCCTAATTTCCCTCCACAGAGGATCAATAAAGTTCCATCTTATCCTTTCAACATGAAATGACGGGAGAAAAATGCTTTTAAACCCATTTTGCTAATCAAATTGTCTAATATTAAATTACCTAATTTTGAGAGATACATTTAAAACTTCTATTAAAGAATAAAAATGAGGCATTTTCTCTATATGCGTATAAAGTATGGGCAACTGGGTCCAACCAGGTGGTTACCATAAACAAATTCTCTCTAAAAAAAAAATGAATTAAACCCCAAAACCCCAAAAGTTTTGACTTGAGGATTTTCTGTTGATATGTTATAAAGATCAGTTTTGTGAGTCCTCGCTATAAAAACAGTTGCAACTATGTTACAGAACCAAAATTTACTAATGGAAGTAGAATTCTATTTAAAAAAAATCAAAAGATAATTAAATGATATCATCTCTGGCTGATGATATATTACACGTTATGTTTTCAGAAAGAATGAAGAAATCTATCTTATTGTTCAATTAATTTCTAGCCCATACTGTGCAGCCTACATATTTTAAATGAACGTTATAATACTAGGAGAAGAGATCTGTAAACATCATATATATTTTGAAAACCAGTTTGAGCAGGTTTTCATCTGATCGCACGAACATGTGTAATCATATCTTATCCTTCCTGGATCGGACCACGCAGCATTACACCGTGTTGTTTTCATGGCTCAAGTTTGACTAATCCTCGCTGCAGAGGGGAAACAACTCAGCTGCTCCATGTGATGAAGAGCCCAGAACAAGGAGATGAATATGATTAGATGACAGCAGTTATGCAACAGCCGTGGCCACTTCAGTAATCAGCCTCATCCTTGGGACAGGATGAACAGCTATCCAGGAAGCTGCTCCTATACCCTCATTATTACTCTGCAGCTAATCTGTCCCTATATTTCAGGAATCAACCATAAAAATAACAAGCCAAGAAAAACAAGGAGGCTGGATCAGACGTGCAAGGGAACAAGGGGACAATGAAAGGGAGACAGGGAACATTTATCAGAATCTGGCCTGATTAATAACAGCGAGGGCTGCAGCAGATACATTCATCTTATATAACCTGGATTAAGGCCCAGCATTATTTGTTTGCGCAGCGCTTACACGACACAATCACACATTGCATCTAACTTTATCTCCACACTGCTGCACGGTGGTGAAAAACCCACAGTGAGGGTCGTGGACCAAACTATTAGAGAAGCACAGAAATGTTTAGTTTAAATGAATCATCTATTCCTAAATTTGAAAGACAGATATCACTCTGCTTAGAGCTTAGCCTGAAAAAATTACATCTTGTTTGTTTAATCCTTACAAATACTTCCCCAAAAGTGAAGCCAAATCAGCTCATTCACCCCCTGGTGACTGGCTGCAGTATAGCTCATAACTCTTGCCTCCTCCATGTAAGTGGATGGTACATGAGCCAAACAAAATTGGATGAAATGTCATGATTGACAACTGAGACTCGCGATTGGTCAAAAGCTAATATGTGCTGCAGGACCTTTAAACCGAGGCTCCGCTCCACAATCACATCAAAAGCATATCTCAGATATTCAAACTTCATTTTTGTGCAATTGAAGTAAGTTGAGAAGCAAGAAAGCAAGAAACTCAGTAAAATTAGTATTAAACTGTTCCCTTAACAATGAAGCGTGCAGAGAAAACAATCACAAAGTGATGCTCCAGCTCTTAGATTTCTGAACTCTAACACTTAACAAAACTGCAACCAGGCCTGTCACTGTAAATCTTTGTCAACGTTTGCCACAGTTTACCTGAGAGAGTCATTATACTGTGTGCATTTTGTCACCCAGGTAACACAGCGTTGGGAAGAGGAAGCGGAGGGGCAAAGAAATGCTCATACAGTGTGACTCGCTATGACAACCAAAGGAAACAAAGCATCCCAGTTTGTGTATGCATGACACAACACGAAATGAGGACTGTGCAAACAACATTTTATAACATACCTCAGGCTGGACCCTCCTGCTCCTGCCCCAGCAGCAGCCATGGAGGAGGCTAAAACCACAGCAGGCAGGTGAGGTCCCGTCTTCCCACATAACACATCTCACCCATGCTGCTACCACCAGACCCCGAAGCCCAACTCAGCCTCCGGACACCATTTCCAGCCACGGGCGAGGTAGTTTCTCAGCAGGTCAGAGATCAGACAGACGCCATCAGAAGCACAAACAAAGGATGAAAAGGATGCCAGGCCTGCATGTCCCACTGATTTACATCTGGAAACTGCAAATGTTGCTCCTTGGCTCCATTCGTCAGAATCTTCTTTAACTTCGCAGAATTTCAGTCGTCCTCACATCGAGTTTCCACCATCTTTCTCTTCAGTGCAAATCCTGGAAATATGTTGTATCACTTCTCACTCACTGCAGAGCTACTTGTGTTTCTTCACAACTCTCCACTGTGCTCCGGACTTGGCTTGCATCATTAATTCATATAAGGTTACATTCCGGTTTGTGTGAGGCCTCGTGCGCGTGTTTTCTTCCCCGTCAGGTTCCTCCAAACTATTCCCCTCTGCTCCAGGACACTGACAGAAAGGAGAGGCAGGCTGCAGGCAGACAATGGGAGGATGCTGCCGCTGTAACCGGTGAGGGAGTGCTCTATGTCTCCGCTGCTACCAGTGACGTATGGATGGGACTCCACAGGGGACCCATCCTGAGCCGGAGGCAGGGCAGCAGGGGCCTGGCACTTAGCTTCCTCTGAAAGGGGCCCCTGGGAGAGCAGTGGTGGAGGGTTTGGGTGGGGTTCTGGGACGATGGAGACATAACCCTATCATGATACAGATCCCATCATCCTCCCAGGTGGGCTCTTCAAGGGGCTGAGGAAGTCAGACAGGGAGGATGTACAGTTCTAATGGGTCTCCCATGTGGTTAAACAGACGCCTCCTTTGCCATCTCAGTTGCCACTGTATCCTGGAGACAAAGCCAATGGGGCTGTTCCTTATCTGCTCTAACGTCTCTGCTGCCGTTCTCCACCTGTTTTGCTGCTGTCACAAACCCCAGCGGGATGCTACAGACTTGCTGACAATTAATGCGTAGGTGAAAGCTTATCCCACCACGCCCTGGCCGCCTCTGGCTGCCTGCCTGCTGCACACAGCAGCAGGGAACTGCAGCGTCCACAGCAGGACAAGAAAGCGAGGCTGGCTGTTAGCTTTATTATTTCACTGTATCTCTACCTGTTGTTAATAATTATGAAGTCAGGTGAATAAATTGCACTAAAGATGCAAAGTTAAACATTGTGCAACTTTTTAAGTTCAGTGTGTAAGATTTAGATGAAAGGGATCTATTCGGAGAAATTTAATATAAAATAATTCTAGTGATGATTTCACTCGTATGTTCATTTGTTTTTTTCTTTACCCTAGAACGGGCCCTTTATATTTACATCGAAAGTGGGTTCTCTCTATGGAGGCCGCCATGTTTTTTTTTACAGTAGTCCAGACTAAATAAAATAAAAACCTTTTGAGTTTTTGAAGTCTACCACAGGTTCTCTTTAATGTTTGGAAGGTGAGGGTGAGGTGAGGGGTATTCAGCTGCAACATGCAACTTCACCACTAAATGTCACTTAATTCTACACACTGAACCTTTAACCTTAAAATATCATCTGCAAAATTGTATTCCCACTCCTCACCCGGAACGTCTGCTCTTACGCAACTTTGGTTAGTGGGTAAATCTCCTGTAAGAGGTGCGAAAATCAAACTGTCAGAATCAGGCCCAGAAAGTTTGAGTAATGCTGAACTTTAGATCAAAGACCACAAAGACTTAAAAAAAAAAAGTTAAAAAAACCCCCAGAATTCAAATTCTAAAGCTTGGTGTATTAGTTCAAATGGCAGCGCTTCTGGTTTGGAAGCCAAGGATCATGGGTAATATCAGTTTAGTTCAGTGAATGGGGCCTACCCAGTCAGAGCTCAACTCACATTGATAGACTCTACTTGAAAACCACTTCATTGCTCGGACACGGCTCCCAACTGAATGAATCTTGTCATGTGGCTGCAGAGGGCGCTGTTGCTCAGTAAAAATTACACAGTGTTTGCTTTAACCTCCAGTTATTTGTTCGGTTACAGTGCAACATTTCATTTCAAATGTTGTCTCCATAATAAAGCACATGTTCCCTCAGTGAGTACAAGTATCTGTCTGCTCACACATGTTCTGCCCAGCTACCAAAAATAAAATCTGTAAATCACCACGTTTTGGTGACAGGAAAAATGTTGCTATTTCTGTAGCATGAAGCACTGGGGTACTGTATTTCATTACTGCCCTGTCAGCCAGTCTCGACCCTTACATGACACACAGAGGAAGCTGCTGTG